AGCAAATAAATATTAGAAAAAATGTTCAAGGGGCTGGGATTTAGCTTAGTGGCATAAGCACCCGCCTTGCAAGCAGGCGGTCGTGAGTTCAATCCTTGGTACCGATAAAAATGAAAAAGACAAAAAAGAAAAGAAAAGAAAAAATGTTCAACCTCCCTGGTTCTTTGAGAGGTGCAAATTAAAACAACATGGGAGACCCCATCTCATTACAGATAGAATGGCCGCTATCAAGAAATCAACCAATAACAATGTTAGAGGGCTGTGGGCAAAAGGGAACCACTACCCATTGCCGGTGGCAGTGTAGACTGACGCAACCATTATGGAAATTAGTGTGGAGATTCCTCAAAAAACAAAACTAGAGGGTCCATTTGATCTAGATATTCCTCTTCTTGGTATCTTCCCCAAAGAGTTAAAAACATCATACTACAATGATACATGCATACCCAAGTTTATAATGATACATGCATACCCAAGTTTATAGCAGTGCAATTGGTGTTGGTTAAATCTTGGAAACAGTCCATTTGGTCATCAACAGGTGAATGCATAAAGAGGTAGAGTTTTTAGGGGCTGGCGGTTTAGCTCAGTGGCTTAAGTGCCTGCCTGGCAAGCAGGCAGTCATGAGTTCAATCTCCGACACCAAAAAAAAAAAAAAAAAAAAAAGATAAACTTGAGACATTGTTAGATAAATGGATGCACCTTGAGGACATAATTTTAAGTGAAGTAAATCAAGCACGTTTAAATATCATATTTCTCTTATGTGAGAAACCCAAAGGATAATTAAGGACAAAATACATGATAAATAATGGGAAGTAGGAAGAAAATGTTCAAATGGGAAGAGGAACAAAGGAAAGGGGAGGGAGTCTGACCAAAAAATAATAAGGAACAGATGGAAACAACAGAAACAAAGCTTTGTGAATGGAGAGGGGAAGAAAGATGGTAGGGAACAGAAGGGGACAGGGATACAAGAATTAAAATATACACAAGGACAAACTCCTAGGATGATCATTACGTATGTTAAAAATGTACCAATAAAATTAATTTTATACTTGACTGCCAAAAAGTGATTAAAGTTAATTTCTAAAAAACAAAACAAAAAATGTGGGTTATCACGCCCAGCTTGGAAAGATTTCTTGGTAGCAGAAGTGACACTTGCATGGAGCTGTCATTCGCACCCCTCATCCTAATTCCACTCTCTGAGAACACAGTGCTGGAGCCGTTCACTTGGGGATTTCTAAGTAGATCCAGAGCTCAGTGCTTGAGGGAGGCCCCCTGTGCCACCCCACACCAGCACTGTGTCCATATGAACATGCGGGTGGCCCCTGTCTCTGGACCTGCACACTAACAGATCAGGGTCCCTGAGAACGTCACTTCCCTCTGCCCTGGCTCTGTTCTTTTTTTTTTTTCCTCTGGTACTCGGGATTGGATTCAAGACGTTGTACTTGCCAGGTAGGCACTTATGCCACTGAGCTAAATCCCCAGTCCCCTGGCTCTATTATTATCCTCATTTTTATTTCCTTTTTTCCAAATCCATTTTATTTCAAAGAGAAAAAGAAAAAGAAAGAAGAAAAGAAAAACAACTAAAACAACATTTCAAAACATGTCAATCAGGGTGCAACAATGGTACATACATTGCACATGGTCATCCCCAAGTCATTCACCCACAGCACAAGACATCTGCATTCAATTGTCTGAGCTATACTGGCACAAATCTTTCTCTTCAGTGAACTCAGAGAAATCAGTTTTGTAACTATCTTAACTATTGTGTGTGTCTGTATACATACACACATACATGTTGTTTCAACTTCTCACGCTAATGAAATATGATGTTTACATATGTGTGTCTGATTTATTTCACTAATTAGCGTGGTCTCAAGTTGCATCCATTTACTTATAAAAGTCTGTAGTTTATCCTTTTTTATGGCTGAGTAGTACTCCATCATATAAAAATACCACATCTTTTTTATCCATCCCTCAGTCAATGAGTATTTAGGTTGTTTCCAAGATCTGGCTATTACAAATTGTCCTGCTATAAACATGGGTGTACATATATCACTGTGGTATAATGCTTTTAATTCTTTTGGAAAGTTATCCAGAGGGGGAATAGCTGGGTTGAATGGGGCCTCTAGTCCTAGTTTTTTAAGGAATCTCCACACTGATCTCCACTGTGGTTGTACCAGTCTGCATTCCCATCAGCAGTTGAGAAGAGTTCCTTTTACCCCCACAGCCCCTCCAGCATTTGTTATTGGTTGATTTCTTTTTTTTGGTCTTTTTCTTTTTTATCGGTATCAGGGACTCAAGACCACACACTTGCAAGGCAGGTGCTTATGCTGCTGAGCTAAATCCCCAGCCCTGGTTGATTTCTTGATAATAGCCATTCTTTCTGGGGTGAGGTAGAATCTCAGTGTTGTTTTAATTTGCATTTCTCAAATGACCAGTGATGTTGAACATTTTTTCACATATTTATTTGCTGTTTGTATTTCTTCATCTGAGAAGTGTGTATTCATCTCAGATGTCCATTTTTCAATTGTATCTTTAAATCTGGAGGACTGATTTTTTTTTTTTTTTGAGTTCTTTAAAGGTTATTGATAGTAATCCTTTGAGGTACAGCTGGCAAACATTTTCTCCCACCTTGTGGGTTGTCTCTTCACTCTGTTGATGGTTTTTCTTGCTGTGCAAAAGCTTTTCAATAGGGTGAGATCCCAGTGGTTGATTCCTTGTGATAGTTCTTGTGCAGTTAGGGTTTTGTTCATAATCTGCTTACACCAGTGTCTTCAAGAGTTTTACCTAGTCTTTCTTCCAGCAGATTTAATGTTTGTTTTAATATTAAGATCTTTGATCCATTCTGATTTTAGCTTAGTATATAATGAAAGATATGGGTCCAGTTTTAATCTTTGGCATGTGTAGAGCCAGTTTTTCCAATATCATTTATTAAAGAGGCTGTCTTTTTTTCCAGTGAATGTATTTGGCACCTTTGTCAAAGATAAGATGGCTTAGTATGTTTGCAGTTGTTTCTGCATCTTCTAATCTGTTTCACTGATCGTTGGGTGTTTTGTTTTTTTTTTGTTTTTGCCAGTCCCACACTTTTTATCACAGTAGCTGTATAGTATAATTTCAAGTCAAGGCTTGTGATGCTCCCTGTCTTTTCTTTGTTGCCCAGGATTGCCTTTGCTATTCTTGTTCCAGATGAATTTTCAGATTGTTTTCTCTAATTCTGTGAAAAATTAGCAAAAGGTTGTGTGTCTCCTCCAAGGTCACCAGACACTGATCCTTTGCCAGCTTCTTCCAGGGTCTAGCCTTGTCTGACTGCCTATATTTCTAACTAGCTCAGTTGCCTGTAACAACCCCACCTCCTGGAGTGCCTATCTCTGCCCCCAAGGCACTACATCTTAGCTCAGCACTCTGCAAGGACTTTGCTCCTGCAGAGACCTTCCTCTCCAACCTCAGCTGCTTCTTTCCTGGCACTGGGTCATCTGCCAGCACACAAGCCTGCTCTTCACTCTCCCAGCCCGTGCCTGCAAGAGTTCCCTTTCTCTGTGCTTAGAAACGCTATCAAGAAGGAGTCTTCTGTGGGTCCTGCCTCTGCAACTTCCTTTCCTCATACTGTTCTCCCTCAACACTGGCAGCACACTTCCATCACTCTGTGAACCTGCCTTGCCACAGTGAGATCATTCGCAGGTGTTTATTAAGTTCCTGCTCTTCATCAGGAGCTGTCAGAAAACAGGAAATGAAAGTGACCAAATCAGTTCCAGACTCAGGGCACTGTGATGATGGACACAAATAACATAATTAGAGTCCGGGAAAGTTCTATGACAAAAGCATATAGAATGAGAAGACATAGAGTAATTGAGGAGATGAGATGAAGGGTCTCTATTTCAGATTGGGTAGTCCAAAGTGGCCTCCACAGGAATGAACACACATTCAAAGAACAAGGGGGCAAATCAGGCAGAAGGGACAGAAGTGCACAGGCCCTGAAGCAGTAAGAGGATATTTGTGCTTTGCAGGAAAGAAAGAAGTGTGGGTTTGAAGACAAGGAGTTTGCCTGGCCCAGGGAAGGTGAGTAATTTATGTAAGGAGAATCTCCTTGCAGGATTTCAGGGGCAGAATCTCATATGTATCTTAAAAAAAAAAAAGCCTCAGACCCCACTGCCTTGTGGAATTAAGCAGAGAAGGCAACCAAATTGTCAGGAGGCAATGCCTATTCAATTTGAAGGTCGGCTCACAGTTAATGCGTCTGAAAAGACGCATCTGGATCACCACCGACTCCAAAACAAAAGAACAAAAGCCTGGCTCCTCCCAGTCTGCCTCATCTCGGTAAACAGCACCACTGTTTAAGCACTTTGTATAAAACAGATTTGCGCTGTCCTTTCCTCCTCCCTCGCCCTCCTCTTCTGCACTTACTCTACTTTTTCTTTTGTCCATTTCCGTCTTCAGATAGTGGACATCATCCTCTCCATGGTGGCCGCATGACGACTCTGAATTTACTATGTGGCCCCCTCGTCGGGATAAAGGCTCCAATTTGTGATCGCTCTGCCTCAATGTCCTGAGGATGGGGATTACAGGCGTGGTCTACCCTCCCTTCCCTACAGTTTATTCTCCACTTAGGCGCCGAGAGCGTTGCTTTCTTTCTTTCTTTCTTTCTTTTTTTTTGTACCAAGGATAGAACTCACGACCTCGCACTCACCAGGCAAATGCTTACATCGCTGAGCTAAATCCCTGATCTTTTTTGGCTTTCTGAGACAGGCTCTCGCTATGCAGTTCAGGCTTGCCTTGAGCTCACTTTGTAGAGATTGGTCTCGAATTTGCAAAGATCCTCCCGCCTCGGCCTCTGAGCGCTGGGATTACAGGCGTGTGCCACCACAGCCGGCTCGCTAGGAGCGTTTTTAAAGAACACAGATCCCCGGAGACACCCTAACAATCATCCCTCAAAGATTCCCTTCGCCTTCAGGATCTTTAAGGACTGGAAGGAGAAGACAGCAGAAATGGGCGGGGCCAGGATTATAGCCTACTTTGCAGGCCTTCTGGGCTTAGGAACCTTTCTTTCCGGCAATGAGGGAAGCTTTTCCATAGTACCTTCCGGTGTCGTCTTTTTCCCGTATTACATTGCGAACTTTCTTTTCTCCTTCCGGTTCCAGGCGCTTGGCTGCCGCGGCTTACGGTGAGTTTTAAATGCAGGGCATCCGATGCCATCCACGACTTAAGGGTTGCCTCGGGTTGTGGGGTACTGGCCGCGGGTAGGAGAGGAAGACTGGCGGTGTGGCTGTGGGGGAGTGGAAGCTGCGGAGCGGGGATGTTGCTTCTAAATACCTCGGCGGGGGGGGGGGTGTATGGTAGGGAAAGGAAGCTTGGAAAAAGTTGGCTTTGACCCGGGAGTTCATTCTTGCGAGTTGGGCGAAAGTTGGTCTCAGAGCATCGTTATCAGGGTTTGAGAGGCAGAGACTGGCCTCGGGTCGTGCAGGGTGAAGTTAGTTGGGGATTTAGAGATTTGCTATTTGGTTTCTGGCCTCGTGTTGCACCAGGGCAGGTGCTTATGCCGCTGAGCTAAATCCCTAGCCCCGTGACCCATATTTCTGATGTTCACTTTTACCTTGTAGGTGCAGATATGGCCAAGTCCAAGAACCACACCACGCACAACCAGTGTAAGTTTCTTAGACCCACCTCAAGTTTGTCCGCTGTCAAGGATTGGTTTAATATAGCCAGGGGGCACATTTCCATTGCTACCTTGCAGCTGATTTTGTTTCTAGCCCGTATCTGGAGGTTATATATTTAAAGTGGCAGCTAGGCAGGGATCCTCTTTGAAACACAAGTTTTTTGCGTTCAAAGGTAAGGTCTCAGGGAGCCCTGATCTGAAAAACGATTTTTCACATGGATGGTATTATTACAGGAAGTTTTTTTTTTTTTTTTTTAAGATAGGGTCTTGCTAAGCTTCCCATGTTGACCTTGAACTTGCAGTCTTTCATACCATAGCATCCCAGAGTGCTGGGATTCACATCTGACCTAATTACTTTTTTCTCTTTTTCTTCTATAGCTCGGAAATGGCACAGAAATGGCATCAAGAAACCTCGATCGCAAAGATACGAATCTCTGAAGGGGGTAAGTACATGCACTGAATCACATAAAATGGCCTTTCATGGTTTCAACTTTAGTTTCTGTGTTGAGTACTACTAACTGTCCCTTGACTTACGTGGTCTACTCAAGTCCACAGTTCCTTTCTTTATTTGGTTAGACTCCTGATAAAACTGTCCTTGGCCTTCTCCCTTGTTCAGCCAGAGCCCTTAAGGGAAGTAATCTTGTCTGTGTCAAGCCCTCTCATCTTTCTATTCCACATTTACCAGCCCTATGACATCCACCTGACTGAGTACTGGGCTTGGGAGGTACTCTCCTCCCTGTTCGGGTTCTGGGGAAACGCTGAGAAGACCAGAAAGATAAGGGAAGAACTGAGCCTGCCCCCATTCTGTTTTTTTATGTCTTTGCCCTAAGGTGGTTGGTGTATATTTGTTGGACCTCATTTTCTTGGTATTTCCTTTAAAGGGGCAGGGAGTCTTCCTGAGGGAATTTCAGGAAAAATATTTAGCCAGACTCCCACTGTAGGAAGTCAGTGCCCTACATTCCCGGCAAAGGGCAGCCTTATTCTGTCTGCAGTAGCGTTTTGACTATTGATAACTTGGAGAATGTGTTCTTTACCCCATTCACAAGGTGGAGCATTTCCTCCTTGGGGTAAGCAGTAGTATGTGTGTTTCTGGAAATAGTTTTAAAGGGTTGGATATGATGTTCTTAGAAAACTAGGTGCCATTATGGAAAGGGGCACAGAGGATGACTTGGTCCTTATGTTTCAGTTGAGTACAAGTTCTTGTGTACAATAAGGAAAGAATAGCCAAGCCTACACCTTGTAGTTTGTAGTAAATAGCTACATTTATTGACGATCATGGGGTAGGCACAGGAACAGGGAGAAAGGTGAAGGAAAAAAGGGACTTAGTAACTCAGGCTTCCCCTATTATAAGGCCAGATGTCACTGGTCTAAGGTGCCTCCAGCTGTCTGTCTCACTGATGTCAAATCTGCTTGACTTCCTAAGCTTTAAGCCTAATAGTTACGGTGGCATTGTGTTTATATTGAATGGAGAGAAGGGAAGTGGCTGACAGTACTTGCATGTCTTGGGATTTGAAATCTTGGATAAGCATCAGGATGGTATGGTGTTTACAGTTGAATAAAGGGAGATGAGGGACTCAGCTACTTTGTTGCTCACTGTACTGGTGGGCTGCTACCTGAACCTTTTCTCTTTTCCAGGTAGATCCCAAGTTCCTGAGGAATATGCGTTTTGCCAAGAAGCACAACAAGAAGGGCTTCAAGAAGATGCAGGCAAACAATGCCAAGGCCATGAGTGCACGCGCTGAGGCAATAAAGGCCCTCCTCAAGCCCAAGGAGGTCAAGCCCAAGTACCAGAAGGGTGCGAATCGCAAGCTCACTCGACTTGCTCTTATCGCTCACCCCAAGCTTGGGAAGCGTATTCGTGCTTACATGGCCAAGGGTCGCAGGCTTTGCCGACCAAAGGTGCAGGCTCTAGCCGAGGCCCAGCCTCCAACCAAGGCCCAGGCCTCAACCAAGGCCAAGATTCTAGCCAAGGCCCAGGCTCTAGCCAAGGCTCAGGCTCCAACCAAGGCCAAGGCTCAGGCTTCAACCAAGGCCAAGGCTCAGGCCCCAACCAAGGCCAAGGCTCAGGCCCCAACCAAGGCCAAGGCTCAGGCCCCAGCCAAGGCCAAGGCTCAGGCCCCAACCAAGGCCAAGGCCCCAGCCAAGGCCCAGGCTCCATCCAAGGTCCAGGCGCAGGTTGCTGCTCCAACTTCTGTTCCAGCTCAGGCTCCCAAAGGTGCCCAGGCCCCTGTGAAGGCTCCACAGTGAAGGCCTGTTTCTGCCAATGTGAGGACAGAAGGACTGGTGTGACCTGGGCTGCCATCTATTGGGGGGGCTGGTGTCCTCCTGTGTTATTCATACAAATAAATCCAAGACAGGATTTGTTAGCTTGTGTCTGTCATGGTGTGCTGATTCCTTTAGGAAGGAAGAAGACAGCCCTTCTGTTAGTAGCCAGATGTGGGTTAGTCAGGAGTGGGACCCTGGAATGCAGGAGGGACCTGGTAAGTGAGAATGATTGAGGACTGGGGGAGCTGGGGCACTTAGCTTGCTGAACTGGGTTCCCTGCTAAGGAAAGGAAGAAATCTCAGCACACTGAGGCAGTGTTGGTGAACCTTTTAGAGGCTGAGTGCCAAACTGCAACCCAGGACCACACACCAAAGAAAAGTCGTAACACTGCAGTTAGACCTAAATCCTGAGGATTTAGTTTAGAAAGAAAGAAAACTACATTAACACCTTTTGTCTTAAAACAGATGTGGGTACCTGCCACTGCTTTGAAGAAAGGCCCTGCTGTCTATTCCAGCCAGACCTACTATTGTACCTGCTCTGGGTTGTGCTGGTCCCCAGCCTCCCAAATAATAGGGACTTGGGAAGACAAGGCTGTCCATGGTGAAACTGCCTTACCATGACTACCATTCGCTTCACAGGGCCCTAATCCTCATGGCAGTCAGTGGGCAGGTGGTGGCTAAGCCACTTACAGAGGCTTTCTGTAGCGAGTGCCAAATGGGAGCATGTTGTGGTTATACCAGCCTGGCAGTAAGAGCCTGTACTAGCATTCTCGGAGGCTGAGACAGGAGGATCACAAATTCAAACCTGTCTGGGCAGCTTAGTGAGGCCCTGCCTCAAAAAATGAAAAGGCTGGGCCTGTAGTACTGTGCAGGGGCTGTGGGTTGAATCCCCAGTACTGCAACGGAGTTGGGGAGCTGGGGTCCCTGCTGAGGAAAGGCAGGCACAGCTTGTGGCTTATGGCCCCTCTGCTCAAGAAGCAGGTGTGAGGGGCTGGGGATTTAGCTCAGTGGCATAAGGGCCTGCGCCTGCATTGGAAGCAGAAAGTCGTGGGTTCGTTCTCCGGTACCGATAAAAAGGAAAAAGACAAAAAAAAAAAAAAAGCAGGTGTGACTATTTTGTTGACACAGGTGAGGAAGTGATCATGTGACAAGGATAGACAGCATTTGAACTGAGGTGGCCTATCAGCCCCAGAAGGTGGGATTTAGATTTCCTAACAAAGCAAGGGGCTGTTACCTGTGGGTGGCCTTCTTAACCATGTGGAGGTGTCCTATATAAGTGGGGTCCTAAAAAGAGCAGGTTTTGTGTTGCTTGGCCCTGTCAGAACGAGGCCCACGTGCTGTGCTGTGCCCTAGATCGATGAAGTAGAGGCTCTTTTCCCATTCATCTGTGAGCGTGGTTTATTAAGGAGCTCCAGTGGGTGTGCACTCATGGGAGGTGAGATGCGGGAAGTGTTTCAACTATGCATGGCTCCCAGTGGGCCTATTGCCAATAAATCTTGTTTGTGCATTTCCCCTGTAACAAGGGTTACAGGGCCTATGTGAAAGTTCAATGGGCAAGTGAAGAGTCCTGGTGCCTTGCCAGTAGGTGCTGGACTTATTTCTGACCAGTTATACCATCAAACCATTCCTCTTCCTGTCTTCATACACAGAGGTACGGACTGGTGGAAAGGAACATTCATACTTGGGGCCACAGCTGACTCGGCAGTCCCTGCAGACCTAACGCTTGTTTCAGAATAGTGTTCTATATGAAAACCTGCCAGAAGACCAAAGAAACAAACAAAACTACGATTGCACAGTTTATTGGGGACCTGCAGACTGAGGCATGTCTCAGGCAACGGGAGACACTAGAATCCACAACTGCCAGTGCAGAAGGTGCTTCTGTGCTGAGCAGGACAAAATTGCCTGAAGCCAGTCTGCTTTCTCCAGAGGTACTAATATGGGCTGGGATGGAGCTCTGATAGAATGCTTGCCTAGCATTTGCAAGGCCCTGGGTTCCATCTCCAGCAGGAACCCCCAACTATTAATGTACCAAAGGTCAGTTAGGTGAATATCTTTTTTTTTTTTTTTTTTTTTTTTTGTCTTTTTCATTTTTATTGGTACCAGGGATTGAACTCATGACTGCATGTTTACAAGGCAGGCGCTTATGCTGCTGAGCTAAATCCCCAGCCCCCAGAAGTTTTTTTTTTTAGTTAGGTGAATATCTTAATGACTTTTTTTTCATCCTGTAGAGATTGGAATGTAGCAGGGTCATCTGGCAAGTGAAGGATAGTTACAACCAAGACGTTTAGCTGTAGTCATCCAACTGGATTCCTACAAGCACAAAGACTAAAGCCCAATTCCTGGGCCCTTCCATACATACTGATCCATGACCATTGATCTGTCTGCTGGGAACCCTAAGAGAAATACCTGGTCTACCCAGGCCCCTAATCCCCACACCAGAGCCTATAGGTTTTGGCAAAACACAAATGACAATTAAAAAAAGCACTCGTAAGCTGTCCCACTAAGGTCAGGGCCCAGCTGGAGTAGTATCCTAAGGTGCTTATCTTGGTATAGTCTTTTGATGGGAGCACTGTTGTCAACTGCACAGGTCAGATTTCAGCATGGTGGCCACTGAGCACAGGAACTAAAGCTCCCCGTTGGTGGGCAGATGGCTCAGGGGTACTTGATGATGTCATGGCAAGGGGTACAGAGCAGTATGGGCCAGTAGGCAAAGGGCCCAGAGCCAGGTTCACAGCATCTGTGGAAGGGATGCTAACAGCACATCAGGGAAATGAGGACTCCTCCATGAATGTCTACCCTTACAACTTCAGGTGCAGCAACGTACACCACAACCGGGCAGGGATCTGGGGCTCAGTGGTCAGTGGGCAGGGCAGGCACACTAGCCAGCGCAGGCAGCAGGCGTGTATATATGTCAATCCCCCGGAGAAACACTGCCTCATGCAGCCGCTCATCATGGTCGTGCAGCAGCACTGGTGTATGGTTCATGGGTGAGAAGCCCAGAGCCGGAACCCCCGCCTGCAGGGTTGAGAGGCAGCGGTCAGGGCAAGGCAGCATTTAAGTCTGCCCACTGCCCACGCCACTGGTCAGGCAGCTCACTGCGCGGATATAGCGGCTGTCGGTGGCAGCAGGAAAGATCTCCAGCTCCAGTGTGAGGTTCCTGCAGAGGCAAGAGCCCAATGGTCAGGGAAGGGTTCAGGGAGAAGTGAAGACAGGGCAGAGGACGGAAAGAGGCTAGGAACGGCAGTGCTGTGGGAGAGGGCTGGCCAGTGAGCTTACATGTCCTTACAGATCCCACTGAAAGCTGCCCACCAGGGGTCTGCGTCATCAGTAGAGGTTATTCGGGGCTCCATCCATTTCTGGGGGAGGGGAAAGATGGCAGGATCAGGGGAGGGCAGGGAAAGGGGACACCCTACCCACACTTACCCAGACATCCAGGTGGCCAGTGCAGCCACAGGTCCTCAAAGGCCCTCGGTCTGGGGCCTTCCCTCACTCAGACTTCTACTTGCCTTCTGTTCCTTCTTCAAAATGGTTCCCCCAGACCCTTTCAGACTGGTCAAATATGTGGATGAAAAGGTCTCAAATGCAAGGTTCCAACCTTTCTTGAACCACATGTGTGCACATTCATATTGAAGGGATACTATGTGAATACTTGATTTATACCTGTCCCCTTCATGCCCCGAGGACCATGAGGATGAGAACTGAACCTAGCCTAGGGATGATACATCTATAATCACAGTGCTTGGGAGGCTGAGGCATGAGGATCACTGTGAGTATATTGCCAGCCTGGGTTACATAATGAGTTCAAGGGCAGCCTGAACTACATAGTTTCTTTCTTTAAAAAAAATGCTTAGTGTTATTTGTTACTCTTTGCTGTATTACCTAATGTCCATAATGGCCTCTAGGGCTAAAGCCTGCTAGCTAAATCAAATGTCTTTCATAGCTAGAATAATACCCAGATGCCGCGTGGCACACTGCCACACTGTCACACATCTGGGGAGCCCAGTCTCCTCTAGTCCCCACTTCCCTCATCACAGGTCCAAGTCAATACCTGAGTAAACTCGAAGGTGACCCCATCACCAGCTGCCTGGCACCATCTTTGGAGCTGTTTCTCAAAAGCCTAAGAGAAAGGGGACGAGCTCAGGCTTTCTCTGAGTCTCTGGGGCAGAACTGAGGACCCCGGCTGCCTCCCTCAAGCCCAAGTGTGTGTGTGGGATCACCTCCAGGTCCACATCTGGTGCGATGCGAAAGTCGAAGACAGCACTCATGGTGGCAGGTACCACATTAAATGCCACACCACCCTCTATCTTCGTCAGGTTCACACAGGTCACAGCCCCCTCCTTCAGGCGAGGGTTTGACTGGAGCCTGTGATTGGGGGGTGTGGAGGACAACAGATACTGTAAGAAGGCGGTACAACTTCCCCAATGTCTTGCACACCTCCCAGAGCCACCCCAGCTCAGCCTGCCTCACCTCTGCTTTTCCTTTTCCCGGAAGGCCAGGACGGAGTCCACAACCTTGTGCTAGAAGGTGGGAGGCAAGGTCTGAGAGCGGCCTCAGGACCCAGCCTCCTCACCCCACACTTCCCTGTAGGCCACATACCAGCTTTTCGGCTGCTGTGTCCTCAATAAAACGTGAGCCATGGCCTGGTCTTCCAGTGCAGGTAAACCGCACCCCTGAAAGATGGAGAGAGAAGACAGTGCTGTTAGCGAGAGTAGGCTTGGAGATTTCATCGGCCCTAGGCGCCCTAGCTCATTCCAAGCTCCCCAGGCAGGGTTCTGTCACCCTTGGATCCAGCACTGTAGGCCTGGTTCTTGCTCACAGAGCTTGCCCTCAGAGGAGCTCAGGAAGGAGGAGCCCCGGTGGGCTTCTCACCCTGATGTGCGACCAACCGTTTGTGGGAGAATCCCCCTCCCCTTTCTGACCCAGTCTCTCCACTGTACACTGAGCCCCTCCCTCTAAGCCCATACTCACACCAGATAGCCCGCTCACTATAAAAGACAGTGAAGGCATCCGTAGGGTTGGCCAGGCCTGGGGGCAAAAGGAGATTCAGAGGGGGAGGTGAGCCAGCCCCTACTTCCCCCAGCCTGGTTTCTCTGAGGCCGGTCAGTGCTCACCCTCATCCAGGGCAAAGCCTACTCTCAGGGACTGGAACTCTGGACGCTGTACGAATAGCTGCATACCTTTAAAACCTCCAATTTCCTCATCTGTAAAAGTGGTAGAGACCAGAGATGAGGGGATGTGACCCTCGACACCCACTCCCTTCCCAAATACACCTCTCTCCGCACTACTCCTACCAGGCACAAAGGTCATGTGGATGGTTCTAGGAAAACGATGGCCCTCATCCTTCAGCCTCCTCACAGCTTCCAGGTACCTGAGGGGGCATAAGCCAAGAGCTGAAGAGGCCACCAGACACTCATGCTGGCCTAGCAGGCAGGGCCAGATAGCGCAGGCAAGATGCAGACGTGTGCCTTGGACCCTACCCTGCCACGGCCTGGTAGGGACTACAGAAAGTCCCCTGCCCTTCTCTGGACCTTAATTGTTCCACCCATGCTTTGGTTATAGCAGTAACTCCTGTCCTAAGTAAGGGGTCAAGATGTCCTTTGGCCTTGAGTTCGTCCACATGCATGGGTCACTGGTCAGTATGTTGTATGAGTGGAGATACTGTAGGAGCCTGGGATTGGAGGACACTCACTGGATGCTGACACTTTTCATGTCCTGGGTGCCCCTGGCATAGATGTAGCCCTCGGGATCCTTGAAGGCCTCAAAAGGATCATGACTCCAATATTCCTGGGGACAGAGAAGGGAAGAGGGACCCACCATAGAGCTGGAGTGACAGGTGGGGTGTTAGAGGGACAGAAGAGGGCTGAAGAAGCCATCTGATTGCTGTCACCCCTCCCCATCTCTGTTGCCTGCCTCCCTTCCCAACCCCGGCACAGAATCACTGGCTAGTCAAGGCTGCTTGAGTGCAGTCATGCACTTGATGGCTGACTATGGATGTTAAGAGCCTTAGCACTGGTGCCATGGGCTCCCGGAGGTCGGATCCTGAAGTCACCATCCTGGTTGTCCCCCAGGTGCACACACACTGCTCCATACAGACCTTGAAGACAGGCACCACATCCATGTGGGAGTTGAGTAAGATGGAGGAGAGTTTCGGGTTGGTGCCTGGCCAGGTCAGCACAACGATTACATGGCCAGGTGCTACCTACAGAGGGTTAGGAGAGGAAGAGGTGAGTGCAGTGAAGAGGTGCTCCATGCCCCCTGGTACTCCCCGTTGGGAGCCCAGACTCACCTCCACTTTCTGACAGCTCAGGCCCATCTGGAGGCCCTTCTCCTCAAGGAAGGCCACGGCAGCTCCTGGGGGCACAGAGTCTTGGGGTTGCTTCTGTCTACCTGTGGCTCCTACCCCTCCGGGCAGCCCAGCAAGGACAGCAAACCCAGAAATAGGTTGCTGCCTCCCCTACACAATTCTACATCTCTCAGAGACATTTTCTTTTGGACTATCTGTGACCCTTTGGGAAGGCCAGGGGAAAGTCTGAGGTTGGAAGCAGATGTTAATTCTTCTTTTCCTTAAAGATATGAAAATTATGGCCCAGAAATCTGAAGAGATTCACTGAAGAGCTCTTGGCTGGAAATTATGACACAGGGGTTTGGACTTTCACAAACAATTCCTACAGCCACCAAGCCGCCTGATTCCTTAGGGTGATGGACTTTGTCCAGCCCAGTAGGCCCCTGGGGGCCTCTCCTGTGGCTGCCTGTCTCTCACTCCACTCCTGTCCTGGGAAGCCTGGGGAATGAGGGCAAGTTATTACTTTTTTCTTTTCTCTCTCTTTGTGCATGTTTCTGGTACTGGAGAATAAACCCAGGGCCTTTAAACTGAGCTATAGACCAGTCGTTTTTAATCACTGATTTTTTTTTATTGCTCAGGGTAGGCTCAAACTGTCTTCCTGCCCTGAGCCTGTTAACAGTGCTGGAATTCAGCTGTTCTTTAGCTAGCTGCCATGCAATACAGTCTCTGGAGAACGCGCGGTCCACAGCCCAGAGGGGCTAGCTCCATGGACCGAGGAGCCCCAGGGGACTGCAGAGCCGGGCTCAGCCGGGTGACAGGAGCTGGAGGAAGTTTAGCGGCAGCTCTCCCCCACCCCGAACCGCCGGAACCGCGAGGTCTCACCATAGTCAGGGTCGGGGTGAACCGTACGGATACGCAGGTACCGTCGGAACAGCGTCACGGATGGGTGCTCCCGCTCGGAACCCTCGCTGGCCATGGCTCCGTGTTATGAGCTGGGGGCGAAGGGAATACGGCTGGGACCCGGCAGAGGACACCTGGGGTCTAGGGATCCCTGAAGGCCCATAGGAAGAGGAGCCTTTGCTTTGGAGTCCCCATTCTGTGCAGGCCGCTTTCAACAGTTCCTTTAGTCCATCGACAGCTCCAGAAGTTTGGCCTCCCAGTGCTCACTTTACAGAGGAGAAAGCTGCCGCTTTCGGGGGGCGAGGGGAGGGGGTGAACGACACAGCTAGAAAGTAGCCGAACCCAGTTTTGAATCCCGGCAAGGACCCCCGAACCCTCCTCCAAATATTTTCCTCAACTGCCTGGCTTTCAGGTCGAGGAGCCCCAGACCCAAGCTGCCTCTCTCAAGGTCGCACCCTGCTCTCTCCTGGCCTTTGGCTCACGCTCGCCTCTCAATCTCAGGTATCCACTTCTGACCCGGAGCCCCGACCCAGGAAGACCACAAGTTTAAAACCGCCCTAGTCTGCACACCACGTGGCCAGAGCCCCGCCGCGGGGCGGAGACTCGAGGCTGCAAACCTGGGAAGCTCGGGTCTCCTTGCGTGCGCAGATGTCTCCGCCCGCCTCAGTCTGGGGCCTCCATTCGGAGCTCGCCCCGCCCCCAGGCACCAGCCAGCCCCGTCCCTAAACTGGCAGGTTTGGCCCCGCTCCTCCCTAACCCTGCCCGGCTGGTCCAGCGCCAGAGAACACCGCCTCTTGCTCCGGCCTCCGGATAGGGCGCAAGGAGAGCGGGGCGGGCCCTGACGCTGAAGGTCTTAGCAATAGTGTTGGGCAACAGTGGCTCTGAGTGCGCCCCTCTGTCCCTCCTGTTTTATGCCTCAGCCTTCTGGGCGTTCTTCCTGGTGGAGTCAGGTTGCTGGTCATGTCTACTAAACCCCACATGGTGAGTTCAGGAGGCTGGTTCTTGTAGTCTCGGAATTCTGGATGCCTGGACAAAGGATGCGTGCTGGATGAGGGCACATGTGACAGGGAATGTGTCACTGTGCGGGTAAATCTGTCCCAGTGGGCATGCCTGTATGTGTGACAGTATGAATGCGATATGGTGGGTGTGACATGTCACGGAGAGAGGGTGTAGTCCTGACACTCTGACTGTGAGGGCCGGGGCAGAACGTGCCAATCTCTCTGGCTCCTCTGCATCCAGTGGGGAAGGTGTAAAGCCCTGTTCCACCGCCCAGGCTGTGTGGAATTAGAGCTGCCCATTTGGGTGTCTGGCTGGTGTATGTACTCCCAGCCAGTTCTGCCCTTTGCTCTAGGGGCACAGCCAGGTGGGGGATGGGCTGGTTGAAGACTTCAACCTCTGGCCCAAGGAATTAGGCTGGGGAGGTAAGTGAGGGACCCATCCCAGCCCTCCTGGGGTCGAAGTCTCGGGAGTGCTCACCCACATGGAACAAGGGAGTGAAGAGACCTAGCAGTTCAACAACAAAACTGCTTTAATTCTTAAACGCACATTCCCCACTCCCGTCTCTGCACAGCATTCCCAACTCACTCAGCTGGGCTACCCAGACCCCGAATTTTCCCCCAATCCCAATGGTCATGTGACAGCAGTTAACACCTGCCTCCAGTCGTCCAGCCCTGTGTGACCAAATGCCCCACTTATCCAGAAATATTCAATCCTACAACCAACATCCACAACAAATTCTAAGAGTTGCCATCATGCTCACTTTACAGAAACTGAGGTACAGAGAAGTGAGGCACTCTTGACTCCTAACTCCAGCACCAGCTCAAAGCAGCCCCAAGCCTCCTGCTCTGCCTCTTCTCAAGCACAGCAGCACATAGAACCCATCACTCCCCTAGCAAGACAAATTGATTTGATTTATTGCACCTGTGAAATGAACTATCCTGGCTGGGCCTGCCCCTCTGATCTCTGCCCTCCAATCCCAGGAATGGGGTGGAAGGGCACAGTGGCCCAGGCCCTCCATGAGCAGGACAGGTCTGGGGAAAGTGGTCAAGGCAAATGGTCAAGGAAGGAAAGAAGGGTGAGGTGGAAGTCCCGAGGCTTGTGGAGGTAGCAGGCATGACCTGCATCGGGCAGCTTCACCACAGAGTGATTGGGCAAGTGTTGGAGCTGCTGCAGTGACTCTTGGGCCAGGGCATGGTCCAGCTCTCCATACACAATGAGGGTTGGAGTCTGTAGGGAAAGGTAGGAGGCTTGATCCTGCAGCCTGGCAAGGATCCACCCCCAAAGTATTCCCTTAGCGAGCCTTCCCCAAATATCCACTGCTCCCATCCAACATCAGCAACCCTGAGGCTCCAAGACAGACCTGAAGGCCTGACTCCCACCTCCCACCATGATACAAGCCAGGAATAGGATGCTAGGACTTCTAAAGAGTCTTCTGGTACCTTCACTGCCCAGAACTGCTTCTGTGTGTAGTTCTTGGTGTAGGTGGGTGCAATGGGCACAAACCCACGTAGCTGGTTGTGGCCTCGAATCAGGAAGGGCAGGGCATAGTGGCCGCTGAGTGAAGGGCTCACCAGTACGACATTCTTCACCTCCAGGTCCTGCAGCACTCGCTGCAGCAGCTCTGCCCGTCCTGCCTCTGTGCTTGTTTCTTTCGAAGGTGCCGAGTTCCCAAAACCTGGGAACAGCACCAGGGAACTAAGGCTGGCTGGGAAGTGCTCAGGGGTGCTGCCAACCACAGTGGGGAAAGATATTGGGACCAGTGTGACACTCAGTACACAGTATCCCAAACCGATTAGTTGTAGAACATCCCTGCTAGGGGAAAAAAAAAAACTTTCATTCATCATATTGGCAAAACCACATCTATCTAACCCTGTCTATCCCACCTATGGCTCCACTACAGAGCTAACAGCAGCAGGAGTCTTTAGGGATTAGCATGATCCAGAAATCATGATGCAGGGGGAGAAAACCAACTTACAAAACAATTTGCTTAGGAGGCAAGAAGTTCATCATGTCTACAACCCCTGCCACACAGCCCTGCACATTGTGTATCTGGAAATGCCCAACAGAGGATCTGGTACCCTCAAACTACTTAATAGGGGAGAGATATATGTACCAGTCCTGAGAGTATTGCTGGGTTTTTTTTTGTTTGTTTGTTTGTATTATTTTACTTTGTTTTGAAGATAAGAATGATAGCTAGAGGATGTAGATCAGAGGTAGAGCATGTGCTTAGCATGCATGAGATCCTAAGCTAACTCTCTGACACACACACACACACACACACACACACACACACACACACAGAACAAAAAACCCCAAAATCAAAACCAAACCAAATGATCATCTGTGTAGTTCAAAACAAATTGCTACATAATTTGACAGAAAAAAATACAGTGAAATTCCTCCTAGCACTGCTTACAAAGTGCTACATTTCTAGTTGCAGGGTGACACATTAATTTACAGTGTAGTTTTCAAGGGAGAAAATAAAAGTCGGCCCCTTCCATGGTGCCATCTTGTGTTGTGGCCTGCCACTGCCTGTGTAGACACTGATGATCCAGGCCACCTTAGGGCTTCTGTGTCTCTCCAGTTCCCCTTCTGGAAAGCTGCCCCCTTTTTGTTTGTTTGTTTTTTAGTGCCAGGAATTGAACTCAGGATCCTGTGCTTGCCAGGCAGGCACTTTTGCTACTGAGCTATATCCCTGGCTCCCTAAGGTACCCCTTTGTAATGACTGCATCTTGCCTCCCAGGGAGGTGGTGCTCACCTGGAAGGTCAAGGGCCACGGCCCGGTAGCCCCTGCGAGACAGCAGCTGCAATGTGCCCAGCTGCTCCCATGTATGGGAGTTAAAGGCCTTTCCATGGAGCAGTACGACCTCCACCCTGTGGGCATACAGGGAACTGTGGGACCAGGGCACCCTTCTTTCCTCCCACGCTTCTCCCACTGCCCTCCCAGGATCTGAGCACCCTGAGTAAGGCTGGGGTTCCTCTATTTGACCCTCGAGTCAGCACCTACCTGCGTGGCTTGTGGAGCGGAAGCACCTCGCGGTAAAAGACAGGGGAGCTACCCTGGGTGAGGCCAGCCAGCACTGTGACATTGGGGTCTCCGCTGAGCCAGGAAGTCTGCTCAGGGGGACCTGGCAGCCCCACATACAGTAGCAGCATGAACAGCAGGCCTATGCCCAGCAGGGCTGCCTGATACCTGTTCATGGAGGTCTGTACCACAGCCTAGAGGGCAGGAGAGGAGAGGAAATGAGAGGGAAGGGGCCAGGTTGAACCCTCAATCTCCTGGACCCTTTTTCCAAACCCTATCTTGTCATCCTTTGCAGAGGAAGAGTTCCAGCCCTTGCCCCTTTCCCTTGCTCTGAACAAAGGTCTAGGGGTTTAAACTTAACTACTCCATGTGCCAGCCAAAAGCTCCGCTGGCCCATTGCCTAAAACAGGTACATCTGAGATGCCTTGGACACACAGCATGCTCAGTGGCTACCAGCATCACTGTCCCAGCTAAATCCACTTCTGTTCTTCAAGACTGTAGGACAGCAGACAGCATATTCAGCTTACAGATTCACAAAGAAGTCTGGGGAGCAGATATGATTCTAGAGCCCCGTAAGGTGAATTCTCTTGCCTAAGTAGCATGTGAGGGACCTAGGATTCTAACCTGGGGCTGGGCTGCTAATCATTAGACCATATTTGTTTTGGAAGAATAAAAACACGGAAATGGGTAGAAGTGACAGATGAACTGGGGCTTTGCTGGTGGACAGAGTGATGAGGGCTGCCACTGAAGAAACAAGGGGAACCCCCACTGAGGACATGTTTGGGAAGGGTTCTTTCTCTCACACAGTATGTAATTTACAATTGATGGGAATGCTTAATGGTCTACTCTAACTGTTGCTTGGAATTGCACAGAGAATGTCTGTGATGGAGAAAATGCTGAGGTCTGAGCTAATGTGGGGAAACGGGGTGCACAGTTCACCTAGAAATGGAAAGGGCAGCATGGAGGCCAAGAGATGACTCCCTCCAAGTTTGGTCTCAAATGACCTGCTTCAAGGAATCCTCCAGTCCAGGACCTTTGCCTGCCCAGAGGACAGGATCCAGAGAGAGCAGGTAGCCTGGATTTGAAACTGGACTCTGTCATTTCCTGACAGTGCTGTGTCAGTAAAATGAGAAAACTTCATGGCCCCTTCCCAAGTCTTTTTTATTTATTTATTTATTTTTCGAGACAGGGTCTCGCTATGTAGTTCAAACTGGCCTTGAACTATGTAGCCCACAATGACCTTGAAGTCCCAGCGATCCTCTTGCCTCGGTCTCCCAAGTGCTGGGATTACATGCATGTACCTGCATGTCCAGCTCCCTCCCACATCGTCCGTGCGATATAAAAAAATACTGGAGATTGGGGTATCTCTGTCATTTCCTGGGCTTGGGGTGAGCATGTCTGCTTTATTCAGGAATGCCAATACACACATCTTTATTTTATTTTATTTTGTATCATGGATAGAACTCATGACCTCATGCTTGCCAGGCAGACACTTATGCCACTGAGCTAAAGCCCTGGCCCCACACATCTTTATTGAGTGCTATGTGGGTACCAACTAGAGCTAGTATTCTTGGGCCACACCTCCTTCTCCCTGACATTTTGGAGCACGTTTCTAGAGGCCCTGTCCCCAGGTTTCAGAGTTAGGCAGTGGTGGGCAGTCACAGCTCCTCTGATGGTGACAGAAGACCCAGAGCCAGGTGGAGGAAGATTCTGCTGCTCCCTTCTTCCTAACTGTAAATAGTCTATCCAACAGGGCAGGAGCCCAGCCAGAGGATCCACACTGCACCTCTCCTTAGGGTTCACCAGGGAGAGGCCTTGGTGACTGCATACCTCCCAGGAGGGAGGGCAGAACTTCTGATATTGCCTTGGCATCCCAGGGTGGTACTAGGCAAATGTAAAGGTCCAGTAGCAGGTCACTCTAATGCCTTCACTGGGCCACTGTAATAGTGCTGACAATGGCACATATGTATACAAAGTGGACACAGACATTACGTCTTGCCTCATATATTTGCTTTTGCACACATTATTTCCATAATGTATACACAGCCTTCTTGCACATGTACTGGCCCTTGCAATAACACTCTCAAAGTCATATTCAGGCAGACAGACAGATGGACAGACACACACTTTCAAAACCACATGCTGACTCTCAGAAATACTCAAGTATATATAGTATATAGTATATAGTACATACAACCTTTACACACATAATAAACACGAGGACAGACACATGGACACGCTGAGACCTCCCGAAGTGCACACACAGGTAGATAAAAGTCACACGCACACAGGAATACACAAAGTAGACGTACAGTGATAGAGCATGCAGATGGACCAAGGATCACATCTCTTGAAATAAGCATGCAGGAGCGTTCATTTTCGGACACACGCAGACACGCACACGCCTGCCTCGAGCCAGCCCCTTCCGCAGGACTCCGCCCCAAGCAGCCGGATCGAGGTGGCTCGACGCAGCAGTCTGTGGACCTATCTCCCTGGGGACACTCACCGGGCCGACCGGGATGATAAGGATGGCTTCCGAGAGGCAGCTCCGCCCCCGCTCAGGCGAACTAGCAGCCAAAGTAGCGCAGCGGCCCAATAGCAACGGCCTCTACCCTGGCTGTGGGGTCACCCGGGGGAGGAGCGCGGCGCCTGCGCAGTCAGTATCTACGGTCGGACCTTTTACCCAAAGAGGAGCTGGGGGAGGGACCCAAGCGCTGAGGCCCGCCCCGTGCGGATTTTCCAAGTTGTTTTGGTCTGGAAGCCCACGGAGAGCCACCTAATTCTTCTTACTAGGATATGTTTTCTTTGGCTGAGTTTTCTGTCTTCCCCGAATAGTGTTCAAGCCATAGAACGGGGCAGGTAAATGCTGGGTAAATGCTGGATACTGTTCCTACGCAGTAGCTCCAGGTCCCCGCCCACACCCACCCCCCACGCCCAGAGCATGGGTGGCTGCAGTCTGTCCCAGGCTGAGGCGGGGGGGGGGGGGTGAGGGGGCAGGGCGCCTGGCGCCCAGGCCTGGCCCCGGGATGCTTTGAAAAGCTCCGGTCCAGTGCTCATTAACACTCCAAGGAGGCTGGCAGCCTCCTGCCCATTCTCCAGGCAAGGAAACAAGCTCTGGGACACTAGGACAGCGCTCGAGGCCACCTGCTGCACTCTCGCAGACCCCGTGTTCCAACCTGTCCTGCCTCTACCGAGCGCCACGCGGCCTGGCTAGGCCTGACTGAGGATGGGAACGGAGGAGAGTAGCAGGGATGCCAAGACTTTAGCGGGCAGGTCACCCAGGGGACTGAAACTGTGCCCAGGCCGGCACTTGGGGTGGGGGTGCGGGGCAAAGGATTTAAGTTAATAGCCTCTGTAGCTGTGAGAACAGGAGAGGGTTTAGCGGCGCGGACGACTCGGAGGCAACTGTGGCCAAAAGAGGGCGCCTCGGAGCATGGCCCGGCCCCTACCCCGCCCCTATCCCGACTTTTTCCTAGTTTTCCTACTTATCCCTGTCCACCTTCGCTCAGCTCCTGTCCGTCTGAGCCACGCAGCTCCCCAGGTACCAGTCCTGAGCACCTGCCATTCTCTTCTTCTGCCCTCTCAGAACCCTACCCCAAATCTTTCCATTTCGGCTTCCTTCTGGGCTGCCTCTTCTCCCTGTGCGCCCCTAGAATCAGAGAGCATGAACTATGGTCTTGCGGAGCGGGCCGAGCGAGCCATGGCAGCGTCCGCGACTGCAGTTCTTACCGCAAGGTGTACGCGTTGGAGTCTTGCTGGTTGCATGCTGGACACCCTCGCGTACCTTGTTGGAAGGAACTCCAAAGTCTTTGGCTGCTGGACATTTGGGTTTCCTCCTCTGGCAAATGGGTTTTGCACCAAAGTTGTTCTCCCTTCAACCAGTGCTATTGGCATTGGGTTGAAGGAGGTTGATAAGCCAAGCTGTGAGGTACAGTGTATTTGCTGTTGATTGAGCACTTACTGTGTGCTAGGCATGGTACCAACTTTTTACGTGCAGGGCCCCATTTAATACTGTCAATTGCCTATGAGCTAGTACTATCAAATTACCCTATTTGTAGAAAAAGCATAATAGCAATAATAATTGTAATGTGAGCTCTGTGTATTGAGTTCTTAAGTACCTGTAGGCACTCTCAATGTTATTTTTTTTCTTGAACTCTAATTAAATCCTTAGTTCTTGGGGGTAGGCTTTACTTCCCCATGTTCCAGATGAGGAAGCTGAAGTCCAGGTTCACCCAATTAAGTGATAGCGGGAGAAATAACACCTGTATCTTCCTGACCTTGGAGTATGTTCTAGGGTCCTGGAATCCTAGAACATACTTTTCTTGTTGCTTTCTGCAGGACCTTCCCCTCCCCCACCCCAGGCTGTTCTGTGGCTTCTCATATAACTGGCTTTGAACCGCAGGCACCTTAGGACACAGTGGCAGCAACAGGAATGACAAGTGTGGAGCAGCAGGTGGGCACCATCCCGGTGCAAGGCCAGGACTTATTCTTCCGTGAGGCACGGCCTGGCAGCGGCCAGACTGCTCGCTTCTCTGTGTTGCTGTTGCATGGCATTAAATTCTCTTCTGAGACCTGGCAGAACCTGGGCACACTGCATAGGCTGGCTCAGGCTGGTTATCGGGCTGTGGCCATTGACCTGCCAGGTACTTGGGGACAAGCTTGTGGGGCAGGGTTGGTGAGGCCTAGGGGTATCAGGATCTGGGAAGATTGGGAGGATTGGGAAGACCTATCCAGGCTGGACTCTAAAGTTGACAAGAGTTCATACACGTTCCTTTTTTTTTCTTTTTTCTTTTTATCGGTACTGGGGATTGAACTCAAGACCGCCTGCTTGCAACGCAGGTGCTTATGCTGCTGAGCTAAATCCCCAGCCCCCTCACTACATGTTCCTTTGAGCTACCCAGTTTTGATCTAGATGTGGTCTAGACACTGCTGAGCAGCTCCCCACCATTACCTGGGAAGATGTCTTACCCTCATGTTTGGGGTTGTTTCTTGTGAGAATGGAATGAGATTACCCTTTATGGGTGTGCTGTTAACCCCTAACATGGAGTAATGGTGTTTTAACAGAGCCAATCCAAAAAAAAAGAAAAAAAAAAAAAAAAAAAAAAAAAACCCAGAGCCAACCCACAAGTTGTTGGGATCCTGGAGGAGTAAAACTTGTATCTCCTGGTGTCCTGGGGTCCAAAGTAGGGCCTGGTGGATGAGTAGCTCTTGGTAATCGTCCCACTGCAAAGCTCTGAGCTGAGCTTTTTGAAGAGAGGGGAGGGACGGCTCCCAGACTGTCATATTATGGACTACCAGGACCCCACCATTGGCACCTAGTGTGGAAGGGGAGGCATGGCCCATCTAATCCTCTCACAGGCCAAGGCTGGTAAGATTTCAGAGCTCAAGGGTGGGCCTCCAGCCTGGATAGGATTAGTTCCAGCAATGGGTTCAGTTGTACTTCAGTGCAAAAGTCTGGAGCTAATGCTGTTGTCAAAGGCAGAAACTAACCAGAAGGGGAGGGAAAGCTGCCCTTTGGCCACTGTCCTCCAGGACTCCTCCCTGTGCCAATGGCCAGGTGCCTTTTTAAGCAGTTAGCTTAATTTTTACAACATTACGACATGGTGGATACTTTTATTGTACTCATAACAGAAGGGAAACAGCAGCTCAGAGAGACAGGTGAGGAGATTTAGCCAAAGTCACACAGACAGTAAATGGAGGATAAGGACTTGGCCCTAGTTAGAGCCTGAGTCTTCAGGACACTTAGTTCTGGAAAAGATGGTGTGCTTGTCACAGAGATGATAGATCAGACTGCTGTAGGAATAAACAAGGCCTGATGGGTATTACAGGAAATGGGCATACAGCTTGACCTAGGAGGGTTTCCTGAAGGAAGGCATCTGACTTTCCCACTCACTACTCTTGTCTTGTTTCTCTCACACTTGAATCCCTGCAGGTCTGGGGCGTTCTAAAGAAGTGCCAGCCCCTGCCTCCATTGGGGAGTTGGCCCCTGGCAGTTTCCTGGAAGCTGTGGTGGAGGCCTTGCAGCTGGGCCCCCCAGTTGTGATCAGTCCCTCACTCAGTGGCATGTATTCCTTGCCCTTCGTCACGGCCCCTGGTTCCCAGCTCCGGGGCTATGTGCCCGTGGCCCCCATCTGCACTGACAAAATCAATGCTGCCGACTATGCTGCTGTGAAGGTACATCTCCCAGGAAGCCAAGATGCCCCTGCAGGAACTGGAAAGAATTCATCCCTGAGCCTTCCTCATTTGGGCTAGGTCATCAAGGGGTGGCTTATGGGAGGTTCCCACTAAATTTCACCGTATTGTCTATTTAGCAGATCACTGTGCCACATTCTGTGCTAAGCTATGTGCTGGGCAGATACAAACTCATACCTCCACCCAGTGGGCCAGCAGCCCTCTCTTCCTCAGAGTGGCCCCAGACAGAGGCTGATAGTAATTCGAAGAGCTGGAGCTGATCTAGGGGGTGGGATTGGTGTGGCTGGGCCCTGTTATTAACCCTATTCCTATCCTTCATTTCTCTCAGACTCCAGCTTTGATTGTGTATGGTGACCAGGATCCCATGGGTCACACCAGCTTTGAGCATCTGAAGCAGATACCCAACCACCGAGTGCTTGTTCTGAAGGGGGCAGGGCACCCCTGCTACCTGGACAAACCTGAGGAGTGGCACACAGGGCTGCTGGACTTCCTGCAGGGGCTGGCATGAGTCCAGCCCTGCAGATGGAAGGGGTGGCTACCTGCCTACCTTAAGATCTGTCTCTCTGCGCAGTGGGCTCTGGCAAACCATGCACTTCTAACAGGTGTGTGTCTGTCTGTATGTCTGTCTTTTCTGCTTCTCTTGCAGCGATGTGGTCAAATCAAGAGGAAAAACTCAGAAATCAATAGATGTGCTCTGGCAGAGGGTAATCCAGGCGCTTGTCCTACTGGCTATCCTTCCTGTCTTCTGCTCTGCAGGCCAGCCACCCCCTCTTTGGCTCCACTTACCCCTCTGGGACCACAGATACATTCATATATGCCCACACACATACTTACACAATAGCGACATCTGTGATCGCAGGTACACACACACACACACACACACACACACACACACACACACTGGGCTTGAGAAGGTACAAGGGAATTTTAAACTGTAGCTTATTGCCTGGGAAGGTGGGGATCTCACTGGCCAATTTCTTGCCAGGCTGAGGGTGTGGCCAACTCTAGACTCCACCCATTCACCCACTGGCTACTACAGATTGTAGCTCACAATTGTCCCCCCTCTCCACATGGGAGGGCTGTCCCCTGTCTCTGAAACTCCCTGCTTTTTCCTCTGCTTCTAGGGTCTCCACCCTTTAGCCCCACCCATTAACAGGCTTGGGTCTTCTCAGCCAACTTGTTTTCTGCACTGAGGTTAAAGGAGTGGGAAGGCAGATTGTGGAGGTCGGTGAAATAAAGCCATGCAATTAGACTTCGTCGACTCTTGCTCTCTCCAGAGCGCCGCCCCTCCTCCCGCCCCTTGGGATTCCCACTGTGGCCCCTCCCCCATCCTGGAGGCACCAGATGGTCCCCCTGCCCTTTGTCCACCAGGCCAGATGGAGGGAAAGGGAGATTGGATTCCCCTCCCCACCCACACACACCCAGGTGCCAAGAGACTCAGCTGTGGGGGTAGGTGGAGGTCAGTGGGACTGGGCTGAGCCGATTACGGGAAGGGGGGGGCAGGGGACTTGAGAACAGTCTAGTTGCCCCCGCCCAGCGCCTCGTCCCTGGCGGTTCTGGCCCAAGAAGAAATCCTGGGGGTAGCTTTGGGAGCACCATGAGGTGGGGGTGCACAGGGGCCACATGGCTCTCAGGCCCCTCCTCCATGGAGCTGGTCGGGTAACCTGTTCTGTGTGCACCGGCCGGGTGGTGCGGTGCCGAAGCCGCGGGCGGCTGCAGGAAAAGGGTCTCTGAGGGCGAGGCCTGGCGCGGAGGATGGCGCAGAAGCGAGGAAGGCTAGGCAGGGCGGAGGATCGAAGCCCGAGCGCCCGGGGACCGGGGCCGAGTCCGAAATAGGGGACGGACGCCGGGGGCTCGCGGCGGCGCGAGGCCAGAAGAGCGAGCCAGGCTGGTTGGCGGCGTAAGACCACGGTGGCTGGCATGGCGCTCCACCGGGACTCTAGCTGGGACCCGGGAGCAGGACGCAGGGTCGCGGGTTCTCCCGGAAGCGGCCGCCGCTCGGGGCGCACCGCGGCGCGTGGGGCGGGGCGGGGCGCGCGGCTGCGGCACTGGGGCAGCTGGGGCGGGCCCGCCGCGCTGTAATCGGATCCGGGGAGGGGGCGGGGAGGGGCCGGGCCAGGCGGGCCGGGGGGTGGGGGGGGGCGCGGAGCCGGGCTTCGGGCCGGCCGGGCTCCGCGCCTGTCAAACCCCTCATTGTTCGCAGCTGATGTCACTCGCAGTTGTGAGCGGCCGCCTCTCCCGGGGACAATGTGGGACTGAGCGGCCCAGCCGCCGCGCCGCCGTCGCAGGACAGCCCCAGCGAGGTAGGGCGCGGGCCGGGCGGGGCGCGGCGGGCCGCGAAGTTTGGGGGTTCGGCGGGGGGCGGGGAGTCCGCTCCCCGGTACACAGCTTAGAGTCTTAGGAGGCTACTAGGAACACGTTTCCAGTCCATTGCCGAGGCCTGCACAGGTGGGGGGCGCTGGTCTGCCAGAGGAGCCCCTGGACCTGGGAGGGGTTTTCTGGACCTCAGTTACCAGTTTTGACTCCCCCATCCCACCCTGTTTCCGTTCTTTGAAACTGCTCTTTTCCTACCTTCTGCCCTGGATTCTGGTTCTGTGCCCTCTGCCATTCTTCTGCAGCTCTGGGCTGGCACACACCCCTTCCCATTCTCTGCAGTCCCAGGAGGAGCCAGACACACACCTCCAGGCCAAGGGTGTATGGAGACCACACTTGGGGCACAGAGTGGGCCTTCTTACCCTTCAGTGCCTTGGCTTCCCCTATGTTCTTGGCTGGGTTCCTGGGAGATGGGAGAGGGGCCTCAGCTACTCCAGCCTGACCCTTGTGCCTGCCAGTCCAGAAGAGGGAGGTGGCCACCTCTTCATTCTCAGGTCCCAGGCCCGCCATCTTGAGACCTGTGGCACCCAAGGCCCCACCCCACCCAGGACCCAGGAGGGTGGTCTTCAAAGGGATGCAGCCTGGGCCATCTCCTAGCATGTGGGGCTTTGTGTTCCCACCAAGCTCAGGATAGTCATCCTCATGCTGGACCAACAGGATATGTGTCCCCGGGCTCTCCTTCCTCTACAAAGGGGACCCCAGGCACTCCCTAAGAGCTGAGCTTTGGCTCTGTTTCTTGGGGTCACCCTCATGGATGGCACCTGAGACCCTATTGTTTCCCCAGCTGCAGATCTAATCGTTCTAGGTTCTGGAACCCCCTCAACTTCCAAGGCGCCCCCATCCCAGCCCCCACCCTCAGCCTTCATCAGCATGCAGGCTCAGGCTACCCAAACACAAGAGGATTGTTCTCCTTGCATGCTCAGGGTGGGGGGCTGGGACCAGGCGGCCCACACACCCTGGCAGTCCAGGCCTGAGGAGGCTGGAAGCCCCACCCTGTGTCCCCAGACAAGCTCTGTCCATCTCTCCAGCCCCTTCACTGCCCCCTCTGCAGCCTCCATTAGCACTACCCAGTGACGCTGACCTCTTGAAGGAGGACTGAGAAAGGAGCTGTGCTGCACAGGTGGACCTTGGGTTTTCCCAGTCTGCCAGTGGTCTCTGCTACAGCCCTAAGAACAACTCCTTTCACTGGATCTCAGTTTTGTCGCTCGATTGCTGAGGCTTTGCCAGTTGTGATGGGCTGAACCCTGCCTGTGAAATCTGCCCCACACTCTGAGGCTTTTTCCAGCCCCTGTCCTCCTAGGGATACCTGTTTGGCCTCTTAGAAGTCTCACACCAACCCCTATTACTCTCCCCAGCAACATTCCCAGGGAGCCTCTAGACCTGGAAAAACAGCAGGAACAGGGGTTTAGGGAAAGGAACTGGGAATCTTGTGTAGGCCCTGCACCTGCATATGTGGTTAGTCCCTTAGTCCCAGGAATCTCAGCCTCATGGTGCCTGTAGCCCCTGGCCTGTGAGCCCTAACCTGAGTTTGGTCTTAGATCTTCCTGGGAGCTGTCTGTGTAGTGGAAAGACAGGCTCAGAAGACTTGTTGTGGCTGTATCTTTGGGAGGTGCAGAGGCCTGGTGATTACATCTGACCTGAAAGGTTGGGGGAGGGTTCCATAGAGGAGTTGGCATTTGAGAAAGATTGTGACAGTGTGAGGAGGATAGGCATTTTAGGCTGGGATCACCAGCCCTGAGGTCTGGAGGTACCTGGCCAGGTTTTGGAGCCTGGTGTGTTTGGGGGATGGGATGGAGATGAGACAAGAGAAGCTGGCAGTGGCTCTTGAAGGGAAGCTGGCCCAGTTTGTAGAGATCAAGCTTTATTCCTTGGGTACTAGGGATCCATGGATATCTGTTGAGCTGCAGAGTGAACACAACGTCTTCAACAGGGAGAATGGATACTAGAGACCTTTTCTCAATTTGAGTGAGACAAGGACTTGGGCTGCACTATGAGGGTGTGGCCTTTCTCCTGTGTTCCTGTCTAGGCCTGGGCCAGGGCCTAGCTTACTTTGGACTCCCTTGATTATGAAGGCTATCTAATGATGATGAGGAAACTGTAGCATTTCTACTGTGAGCTTCTCAGAGCTTCCCTTCCCAGCCTCCCTTCTCTGCTGGGCACTTTGGCTATGAAACATACCTGAATCAAGAAATAAGAGGCTGGAGTTTGTAGATCCCAGGCTGCTCTCTTGCAGTCTCCTCCTAAGCTTCCTCCTTCCAAAGTTTGATGTGATGGGTTGTCATGGGAGACTAAAAACTCAGGCTGGTCCATGGGTCTGAAGGTGCTAGGGCAGATCCTGCAGGGATTGGCTGATTAGCAAGAGCTAGCATCCCTGGAGCAGGGGATAGGCAGGGGAGAGAAGAGAGAAGAACAGGGGATAGGCTGACCCCCCACCTCCCACCCCTACTGTCCACCCTTCTGCCACACCCTGCCTTGCCTGATGCTCAGAGCCATTCCCCAGCATCACTGGGTGTGGCCAGCATGGCTGCTTTTGGAGTGAGGATGGAAGGACACTGCTAGGTTGGGAGCTGGGAGTGCTGAGGAGGGTAAAGCCCTCTCCCTAGCCCAGGTGGGTCCATGGGCCTTTACTGGTCCAGACATTCCAGCTAGCAGAGTGGAGGGAATCCCCCAAGGGGCGGGCCAGTCTACTTGAGTTGCTTGGCCCCAGGAGCCCTCCCCTCCCCTGGATTGTTCTTACTCCAGAACAAAGCCAGAGTGGACACTTGATCCCTGCCTGTGGGGGGAGCTGGCTAAGCCCCTAGCCCTTTGATTGGGCAGCTGTCATGGGAGAGAGACAGCTGGGGGGGGAGGGGCAGGAAGGAGCAGCAACCATCGCTTACACAGCTGTCATCCCACCCCCACCCCGGCCCTGCGCCCTCCGGCCTGAGTGGCAGGAAGCCAAAGACAGAAGGAGTGGGCACTGGGTCTGGGGAGTGGGCCTGGAGAACACGAGGGACTCCTGAGGTAAAGGGCTGGTCTGAGCTTGGTGTGTTCTGCCAGGGAGCCCTGCTGACCAGAGGTGAGCTGGAGGTCAGTGTGGCATCATGTGTGGCTGCCACGAGGGTGGCCCAGCAGAGACCCAAGGCCCATCAGGCTAGGAAGAACTCCCTAGAGCCCCATCGAGGGCAGGAGAGCCAGTAATGCCTAATGGGGCTACTTATTTTTAGGGGCTTAGGAGAATAATTTTGAGACATGAGTCAGGACCCTTTGTTCTCTCCCTGAGACAGGAAAGAATTTGAGGGTCTTTCAGAACAGGAAGGGGACAGAGACTAGCAATCTCCTCCCATCCTCAACCCTGAATATGTACTAGGTGGGCAGACCAAGGTCCGGGTCAGAGGAGGCCTAGGTCAAGGTCACTCCCTGAATTTGAGGCAGTTAAGGTGTCTACTGCAGATTCAGGTGCTTTTCGTGTGGGAATTCCAGTTCTGGCCATGTTGCTGCCCTGTCTTTCCTGGTGCCACAGAGGTGAGGAGATGTTGTGGGAACCACGTGAGGACTCCCACTGATTACTCTCTCAAAGAGGTCTCTGTACCTCCACGAAATTCTAGAGCTTAAGATTATGACTTTGGACAAACTGATCACCTTGCCAAACAGAACCCATGTTCACCAGCCAAACAGGTACCACCTTTGAAAAGGTCATCCACCAGGAAGAAGGCTAGCAGACCCAGACAAGAGCAGCCAGGAAGGGGTCCAGATGAGGCCGGGGTCAGCCATGAACTAACAGGAAGGACCCTGCCATTGCTCTGTACCTTTTCTCTCCTTGAGCTTGGCTAGGTTGTAGACTCTCTTTAGCTATCAGGTTCCCACCCTGTATGGTGAATTCATCTGCTCAGTTACCAG